GCAAACAGAATCCTGGCTAGTTAAATAGAATAGAGATTCCAGAAGGGGGGCGGGGAGGATCTGATTGTGGAAAATTGACAGGTGCAGACCAAAATGGAAAGGGTAGGGTGCTAGACATGGCAACAACTGCGCTCCACTTAGAAGGACGTCAAGTTGGATGTGTTCCTCACTCCATCCTGACCAGTAGGGGCAAGCTTCTAAAAGAAACCAAGGTGTTTGTCTTCCATGATCTGGGAGCAGAAACATTTCTTAATTGATTTGCTTTTCAGTTAGATAAAAGATTGACAGATTGGATTTTTTTTTTCCTTAGTGGTACTTCAGACTACAAAAGCTAGAAACTACAGGGAAGGGTTGAGAAGCATTTTACTAATTACAGGAGAGCAGTTTTGAAATTAAAAAGACTGGGCAGCAGTGGCATGTGCCTCTAATTCCAGCACTCAGAAGGCAGAGGCAGGTGGATCTCGGAGTCTGAAGCCAGTCTGATCTACAGAGTGCGTTCCTGGACAGCCAGGGCTTTAGGGAGAAACCCTTTTCGAAAAACAACAACAACAACAAAACCCATAAAAAAAGAAAAAAAGAAAAAGAAGAAGAAACGAAAAAGAAAAGAAAAAAATTATAGAAAAGCAAGCATTTGTGAGGCATGGAATACAGGATTCTCATGAGCATGTGAATACATCTTTGTGGTTGGTAATCAGGGAAAGGAGCTGTTTATCATAAACTGATAGGGTTGTGAGTGTTTTCATAGGGCAACCTTTGTCCTGACACTTACTGTTAAGGTTTTAATATCTTATTTAATAATTCAGGTGGATTTCCAGGTCAACAGTCATGACTTCTCTGAGTGACATCTGACTTCTGGTTTTTCCTTTCATTACTCTTCGGCCTCCCTGCGCTGAAGGTTATGACAGACGCAGGTAGCCCTGGCCGTGGGACTCTCACAGTGCAGCCAGTACTACTGAACAGATGAATGCTCAATCTATTTTAAAAGTTAAAACATTTTATTTACAGACTGAGGCAGTGCGAACACTTATCCTATCAAACACAATGCTATTGCAAAACTGTAATTGAATTGTATTTTTAAAAAACATCTGTTTTCACTCCATTGTCATAGTAATACAGGGTTTTCTGTTTTTGTTTTTTTGAGGTAGGGTTTCTCTGCGTAGCCTTGACTGTCCTGGAACTTACTCTGTAGACCAGGTTGGTTTCAAACTCACAGGGATCTGCCTGGCTCTGACTCCTAACTGCTGGGATTAAAGGTGTGTGCCACCACACACCACATCAGTGGTGTTATTTGGAGGTGGTGGAAGCTTCAGGGAAACTTAGTCATTGAAAACATGCCCTTGAAGGGGATTTGAGGCTTCAGCCCCTTTCTCTTTCTTTTGTTTGTACTTAGCTATGAAGTAAAGGGATTAGATTTCAGGGACATTCTATTGTACACAAGGTTCCATGTATGTTCAATAAACTAGCAGCTTCCTCAACTGTGGATTTGACTAGGGAGGGGTCAGAAATGTTTTTTAAAATTACATCTGCACTGAACACGTACATGCTTTTTTTCTTTTTTCATTATCCCTGTACAATAGAGCATTAACAACTGTTCATACTGTAACGTGTTTTGTATGTAATTTAAAGAGGATTCACATGAATGAAAGGCAGTACCTACAGACTGGAAGCTAATTAAGTCACTTTTTAAAAGACACTTAAAAATTCGTGGGTGTTGGTATCCACAGGGTTCTAGGGTCCATCCCTCATGAGTACAGAAACAATGATAAAGACATGCTGGAATTTTCCATTCTGGTTGGATAGTTAGAATTTCTCCCTATAACTGTACTAAGAGTTCTTTTATTTGAACTTCTATGTGTTTAGAATTGTATGATATTCTTTTCCCCCAACATAATATTTTTGTTGATTAGTTAGGAATTTCATACATGCACCCTAGTCACCCTGCCTCCTCATGTTTACCCTCCCATGCCTATGCCTCCCTGTAGGCTTAGATTTTCCAAAAACCTACTCTACTTGGGGTTCTTAATGCTCCTACCTCCCTTCCAACCTACTGACAAGCGGTAAGGAAGAAAGAAGGTTATTAGGAGAAGGGGGTTATAGACCTTTTTTAGATGTTAGCCAACGCCAAACAGCAGCGGCACATTCAGCAGAAACAGCAAGAATCCGCCAAATTGGAACCAGTCAGTGAAAGCCGAAAGACTCACTGGAGTGCACACAAGAAGTTCGCTGGAGCGGTTCTCTTTTTGCGAGCAGAGAAGCGATGCGGGCAGTTGCAAAGCGTGCCGATACAAAGCGACGTCTCCCTGTCTGCAAACTGCTGTTTATCAGAGTTCATGCAAGGCTGTTTTTAAAATCACGCCCTTTGCGCAGGACATCAGGAACCCGCTCACGTGAGCCCTCTCACGTGTCTGTTTTCAGCTGACCAAGATAATGTGCCCTCTCGCTATCAGTTTTCAAGTACGATGAACTAAACACATTTCTACACCCCACATTTGGGACCAAAACAAAAAACACATAGGGGGCTGGAGCGATGGCTCAGGGGTTGAGAGCACTGCCTGCTCTTCCTAGAGGACCCGGGTTCAATTCCCAGCACCCACAAGGCAATTTACAACTGTCTGTAACTCCAGCGATCTGACACCCTCACACAGACACATGCAGGCAAAACACCAACGCAAATAAAATAAAAACGTTTTTTGAAAAAGTTCCTTTAAAAAAAACACATTAAAAGAAACCAAAACTTTCACTATCCCTCACCTAAAAACAAACAAGCGAATAAAAACCCTACTTGTGTTGTCCATATACTCATGGAAGCATGGTTGAACAAAACCAAAAACCGAGTACACACACACACACACACACACACACACACCCTCACACACCAGCACCCCTGCCATCAACTGTGAAGAGCTACACTTGAGCATCTTTAACACAATTTTTAAGTACTCTCTTCAATAGCTTCTCGTCTGGACTGTTTCTTTTTGTGTTATACTCTTGATGGAGTAGAATGTTTATCATTTAATTTTAAACCACACTAAACTTACTGAGCTGATTACTCAAATAACTTTTTTCCCCTTCCCAGCCCTCTGCTGGAATGTCCTCCAGGCTGAGTTCCTTCTGAGATAGCTCAGAGTTCTGTGAGGGGATTGTCTCAGGTCTATAAGCATGAGCCCTCTGAGGCTCATGAGGTTACCTACCTGAAGGACGATGCTAGCTCTCATTGGTTTGACTGCATTGGTCCTATGGTGCATGCTATTTTGAAAGCCCAGAACGGTTCACCTCACATCTGGTCCTGTACTTCTGACTTTCCACCTGGGCCCTTGCTTCATCCCTGTACTTTCTACTCTCTCTATTTCTATCTCTACCCACAGTTCCACCTTTTCTGTTCCACATCTCTGCATTAGAAATCTTAGGGGTTTTTTTTTGTTTATTTTTTATAAATTGCTTCCTCCTTTTTTTAAATTTTTTGAAAAATGTATTTAATTTTATTTTATGTGCATTAGAGTGAAGATGTCAGTTTCCTTGGAATTGGCGGTACAGACAGTTGTGAGCTGCCATGTGGGTGATGGGAATTGAACCTGGGTCCTTTGGAAGAGCAGACAGTACTCAACCACTGAGCCATCTCTTTAACCGTATTGCTTCCTTCTTAATGTTTCTGTGACATTTTTCCTAAAGCTTTTATGCAGTTGAAATATAGTAATGTTATGGTGATTAACCAAAAGAACTTGCACTGAAAAATATTAACAGAAAACAAATGCAAAATACAGTTGGTTACCAATTTTTTAGAGAAGATAGCAAGATTTCATTAGTGAAGAACATCAACCAGGGGGATTTTGAAACCTTTTGAAGGCTGGTGCTTTCCCTTTCGACGGAACATTCATGATGACTTTTCATCTTTGGTTCTCCCATAAGAAATAAAACACATGCAAGGACAGTTTAATATTTAAGGGACTCTGAAGAACCTTCCTATGAAGCCAGTACAGTGCCGAGGCCCCAGAAAGTGATTCAAAATACATCTTTTCCCAGAATGACAGAGCAGAACATGCCAGCCTAAGAAGGAGAAGTAGTGGCAGTTGTGATCGTCTGCATTAGCTGTGAGATAGAGTTTATGACGCCTTCCTCACCTTTCTGTCCCAGACTGGGCACTGGAGAAACGCAGCTTAACATAAATTCTGTTTTTGATAGGGACCAGTACAAGCCAAACACACAGAATTTATTTTTACTTACACAGGTGCAGACCAATGATTTCTTCCCATGCATTCTACTTTTCTTTTCCTTTCTTTTATTTAATTTTTATTTGTTTGTTTGTTTTTGAGACAGGATTTCTCCATGTAGCCCTGGCTGTCCTGGAACTTGCTCTGTAGATAAGGCTGAGATTCAGGGCAGTTACAGCCGCCACCACTACCAACCAGCCTGTTCTACTTTTCAATGAGAACTGTAACCAGTATTGAACTGTAACCAGTATTGTAAATTAAGCTGTTTAGACAGCTGAAAGGAGAGAGCCCTTTACGGAACCATAGACACTATTCAGGTAAGGAAACGTTCATGCTGATGAATCATGTCCCATGTATGTCTTGGGCTTGTTCATAATAGAGAATTTCATCTTCACAGGGACTTGGCAAAGTAGGTTTCATTAAAACTTCCGTTTCACAGATGAGGAGGCCCAGGGGAATAAAGTGCCTGCCTCTCCCTTGTTGTGCACAGTGTTGTGAAGCAGAAGCGTCTCCTTTATCTGCCACTGAACTGCAAGCCTGAATCATCATGTCACCCTGCATGTGAGTTCCAGCAGTGCCTGTATGGATGCACACATGTGCCACCAGCAATGCAACCACAATAACTGAAGAGTTTGCCAAGCCTTCAGCAAAAGAGGAAGCATTTTGTCATCGGTAATCCCCATTCTCAGGAGAGCCTTCCTTTCAGCACAAATTCAGTAATGTGGAGCCCAAGAGTCACAATAGAAATGGTGACCTTTCAGCAACTATAAACTGACAAAGCGTAACACTTACTTGCCTGGAATTCAGATCCTTAGCCGGCCCGCTCTGTTAATAGGGACTGTCCAGCTTTGTGAACTGAGAAGGTGGAGAGTCAGCTGTGAACTTTGTGCTTGGGCAGGTTACTTGTGTTGCAGCTTGGAACGAATGCATTTCTCTGTCCTTGCGTTTTAGCCTTGTGTTCAGGTTAAACATTAATTTCTGACTGTATACAGGCTAAGGCAGTCTAGATAAAGCACACACACATGGGGATTGTGCTTCTTTGGGCTCCTGAGAAAGCTCATCCAGTGAGCCTGATTTAGAACAAGCCCTGACAGCATGGGTCTTTCTTGCACCTATGCTCTCTGACATAGCCTCAGTTTCATGTTGTTAGCCCCACTAACAAGCCCTGTGTCAGGAAAAGGCTGTCCTATTGAAGGCCCTGCATCTAGAGCCATACAATGGGCTTAGAACCCACCTGCTTGCCTTCTTTCCTAACCCATTGACACGTGTGATGCAGGAGACAATATAATGAATGAGATTTTGATTGTCTTTAAGGAATCCAAAGCTGACTGAGTCTCATTGGAAAACAAAGGAGAGGCAAGGAAGAGTCATTGAGAAGGCACATGAGAAAAGCCCACAGAGCAGCAAGCACTTGCCAATTTGGGCCAGTGGGAACAAAGAACAGAGTGGGTGTGAGATTGTGTATGGGCAACCTGGGAAAGGACTGGGTACAGGCAGCTGAAGACAAAATGGCTGTTGCAGTTATAGACTAAGAGAACACGGTGGATGATATCAGCTTTGGCTCAGGAGAGATGGAGGACACTAAGCATTCAGTTTGGGAATTAAATTTCCAATATTCTCTTCTTATCTGTGAGTAAATATCCGGTAGGCCTCTCAGTATATGAGCTTAAAAATCAAAAGCGGTGTCTGCACAGGAAATAAAGTTACGAGTGGAAAGCATTTGACAGGAAGCAATAAGAGGCATTCAGCTTTAGCAATAAGAGCTGGAGCAATAAGAACACAACCCATAAAATGTTTCCCCCACCGAAATAATATTCTCAGCACCCCTATAACAAGCTGGGTATCTGCACATACCCATACCCCCAGTTCTGAGAGCACTGGAGACAGGACATCACTGGGACAGTCTGAATATGAAGGTTCCAGAAACAGACACTCTGATGTCCAAGCGCAGAACCCCGGGGGTCACAGCTAAAGCAGAGAGAGAAACTTGACCCTCTCCTGCCACATGTTCTGTTCTTGCCATCAACATCATGGGTCGTGTGGCATCCTGGTGAGGATGGACACTTCCTTTTTATTAGTGCCTTGTGTCCTTTCACAATTTCATATATGTGCCTTATGTATTGTGATGCATCTCCCACCTAACTGCCTCTTGTTTCCCGCCTACCACACAAGCCTCCCTCCTCCCTACAAAACTCCTTTTCCCCATTAGATGTTTTGGTTTTGTTTAATGTTCTATGGGTTTGATCAGGGCCATGGGTATGATCCTGAGTTTGGAACTAACCATCAGAAGCTAGCCTAGATACTTTGTTTTCCTCTCTCAGAATCTCTGGTTGCCTACAGACCACCAGAACCTGGAGGGTCCCAACAATTCTTCCTTCTCCATTCTGAACCTTAGAGAGCCCACCTTCTATGAATCCAATTCCAATATACACAGCGGCTGTGAGTTCATTGCTGTCATGGCTGTGTCATGCTTAGAAGATAGTATTTTACATCTTCTTTCCCCTTCCTCTGGGCTCTTACCATTTTTCTGTCTCTTTTCCTGCAATGTTCCCTAAACCTTAAAGGGCTGGCATAAATGTATCATCTGCGGCTGAGCTCTCAACAGTCCTTTATTTTCAGTGTCTTGTACAACCACGAATCTTTGCATTTACCTCTGTCTTCTGCAAAGAAAGGCTGCTCCATTTAAGGCTGAGAGAATCAATCATGTCTCTGTGGATATAAACAGATACTATTTCAATTAAGTTAAGAAGCCATATTAGGTTACCATGCCACAAGATCTCTTTAGTGACCTCTTTAGTCACGGGTACTGGACCAGGTTAACAGAATTAGGCATGAATTGCTTCATGTAAAGCAAGCGCCAAATCTACTAAGAGAGTAGTGGTTGTTACCTCCATAATAGTTGTGCCATGATTGTAGTCACGGGCATATCTTGTCTGGCTGGTTGGTATTATAATTTGTTGAGTTCTCAGCTGGGTTAGGGTATTGGTGCTTTTACCAGTACAGTAGCCATACATAGCACCATCTGGAACCATGACAGCCAAGCAGAGTGGAACATGCTTCTAGGCCAGGTTCAACTTGATTTCTCAACATCTTGCTTCTGAGGTGTATGCTGCCTGCAGTTGTAAGGTCTCACAAAACAGTTCTAGTGGGAAAACAAAGATGAATTGCAAGAGCCTTTGTTGTTTTGAGGGGTTTTGGGACCTCTCTGAGCCACCTCCTATGGAGGGATCGCACACTTAGTCTTAGGGTTTTTGTGTAATGACCCATTTCTTCTAAGACTTGCATTGTCTATTCCTGCTGGGTATGTCTTCATAGTCTCTTTTATGTTTTTAAACTGGCTTACCAGATAGTAAGTTACTGAATTGTTTTCTCATAAAACTTCATCCCATTTAACTCCTTTTCTGTTTTCTTATTTCTTCCATCCCCCATTCCTCGACCTGTTTTAAACTTTCCAACCCCAATATACTCCCTGTCTGCCCTTATTAACCTATGTGGTACTATGGTTCTTTGTTCTTTCCATCTCCTTTCTGCTTTCTTGGGTTCTCAAGGTGAGGCTAGATAGTCTTTATTCAGTCTATGTAGTCGAATGCTAATTTGTTCCAGAAATGCTTTCCCAGATACATTCAGAAATAATGCTGAGCTAGCTATCTGGACATTCCTTTTCCAGGCACACTGACACACAAAAATACCACGTTAGCACCACTGACAGGATGGAGAGTATGGGGGTGGGGTAGCTATCTTGGCATTGTTGGATGTTCAGCCACATCTGGACTGTATTCCTTAGATACCACTTATCATCATTGTGACAACCATAAGTGTCTTCGTGCATTACTCATGTTTTCTGGTGGCAGCATGATGATGGCTGAGAACTGTCGATGTAATGTGACCTTGCTGTGACCTAGGCAGGCAGAAAGCAGCACAGGCTGTGGTGGATGTCATTCCTAAAATGGGGTAACTGGGCTTTATGCCATCAGTGACAGTGCTGTGAGTGTTTCAGGAGCAAGGCTGTGAGTGCAGAGAGAGATGCTTTCAGAGTGGAATGGACTGGGCCGTCCTGCAGTACCAACAATGTGGCTGAATACACGGAGGAGGAATGCCAGGGGAATCAAATTTTCCTAGAAAAGCTACCCTACGAGGATCTGATAAGAATAGGAATTCAGTTGTTGTTGCAGAGAAAATTTTAAAACTGTGATTTATTCATTCTTATTTTGCATTTGTAATGAGTGCAGGTGGGCATGGACCACCATGGTGCATGTGTGGAGCTCAGAGGACAACCTTGAGTGTTAGCCCTTGTCCTCCATCTTCACACAGGGTCTCTCTTTTGTTTACTGCTGTGTATGCCATGCTCTCTGGCCTGTGAGCTTCCAGGCACTCTCCTGTCTCTACCTCCCATCTTGCCGTTAGAGTGCTGGGATTATAGATGCAAGCTACGGTGCCTAGCAAACCCTTCATCACTAAGGCATCTCCCCAAGAGAAAAATTTAACTTTAAGAAAGTTCATTTTTGTTAAAGTATCTTTTATTTGCCTGATTTCATTGTTGCCTCAAAGGCTGTCTCTGTTAACCTAGGCCCAGTCCTGGAAACTTCTAGCTTGTATATAATCTAATCTAGGCCTAGAATGTTTGCAGCCTCTGAGACTTACTGCTGAATAAGCTCAATTTTTCTAGCTCTTTCGTAATTCTGGATGGCTAGTTCAACTTAGCTGTCTGGCTCACAACTCCTCTTCCATTTGAGTGAGTCAAACTGGCTTCTCTCGGCTTCTCTCTGAATTGCTCTGCTTGGCCTCAAACTAACTCTAGCAATCTGTTCTAATCATCTGGCTCCTTCTCATCCTCTGGCTCGTTCTGTCTTCACCTTTTTCTAGCTTGTTCTATCTTCAACCTGTCTCTATAAAATTCTCTCAGTAAAAACTGCCTCTGAAGTCCATGAACTGAACTGAACTCTGCTTCACTTCACTGACTCTCAACTCACCGACTCAGCTGCCTGAACTCAGAGATCTGCATGTCTCTTGTCTCCTATGCACTGGGATTAATGGCGTCATACCTGGACCTAAACTTTTCTATGCCTGACACTTGATCTATACTATGCTGGCCTTGAACCCAGAGATCTGCTTTGCTGAGTCCTGGGATTAAAAGAGTGTCTGTATTCCAGCTAGAGTAGCCATGCTGCTGGATTAAAAGTCCTCTACGCATCTTACCTTATTATTATTTTTTTCTGCTGCTAGTAATTTTTCTTAGCTGTTGTACAGTGGGGGGAAAAAATCTTCAAAACCAAGGTCACTTGGATTTGCTTTTGGATATTCTTCGAGTTTTATAATTTGTATTTGGACTTTAAATCTGAGAGGTATTTTGAAAACGGTGTAAGGCCTTAGATGTGTGTGTTTTCTGGTTGGTTGATAGCATGTGGCTGTGTGCTTGTCTTAGCCCTGCTTGATGAAAACGCTGCTCTTTTTGTTGCGTTGCCTTGGCTCCTTTGTCAAGGACCAGCTGGCTCTGCTTGTATGGACATGTTTCTGTTCTGTTTCATCCAGTGTTTTACAAATTGCTGGTCTTAGATTACCAATAGGTCATATAATCAGTTTTGAACGTCTTAATATCAGCATTTCTTTTTTTAAGAACAGGATTGAGTAGAAAAGAAGGAATATTGCATTTAGCAGTGTGAATGTTATTTTCTGAAACTTCAGTTGCAAGTACATACGCTTATTTGCCTTTGTCACCATATATAACATCTTTCTTACTGTAATGAAAAAGCCCAGCACCCCCCATAAAGAGGTGACACCCCCCCTCTCTTTTTCTCTTTTGGTCTCATGTAGTCTAGGGTGGTGTGAAGTCACTATGGAGCTGCAGTATGTCAGATCTTGCTACCTCTGCCTCTGAAGTGCTAGGAGTCTAGGTGTGAATCACCACGCACAG